TGACTTTCCTAACATGATAAAGAGAACTGAGACCCCATTAAAATTTCTTGTACTTGCAAAGTGAGAAATAAGCATTTCTGGAACATCACCTTCTCACTTACTCACATGTGCATACTCAGTTCAGTAATAGAATTTACTAACTTTTAACAACTTTTTTTGACATCCAAAGGTTTTTCAACCATACTACACTGTGTTACATTAGTACCATCTGCTGGACAATTGACACAAAGCATTTTTTTATAACAAGATCTTGTTTCTTTGCATGGAAACAGCACTATGTAGTATTGCACTAACAATATTATAAAAATCCATAGTTCTCCATTCTCAAGGCAAAAATGCTATGATTCCAGCTACAAATAAGTATCTTGAATACAGCAACAAGACTTTCAACATTTACTATATATCACCAATGAACAAAAACAAAAACACACCCAAATATCCAAAATAGAGAAATTCTAAAAATAATATAAACTAATGCAGAAATGGAAGGATCACCATTTAATGTAAGAATGTCTGATTTTTAATACCATTTGTTGCACCTACCATGCCTATGGAAAAAGCAACATACATTACTACTACTACTGGTGTTTTCATTCTTATTTGTTGAATACTTAATACAGCTCTGCCCACAGGTTTACAATCCAAATTATCAGGTAACAGCAGGAAGAACTTAATGAAATACCTCCATCTAACTAAAATAAATTATTTTTCAGGCTGTTTTTTAAAAATCAGAAAGGATTACAAAGATCAGAGCAAAGCTAGCACAATATTCCAAGCATAACAATCTACTGAAGAAAAAAATGAACAAGGAGTAAAAAGCCAGACTTTGGTATGAGGCAGTATGCCTACGTGCACCAATTCTTAGGGAACTTGGGACAGGAGTGGACCATTGCACTAATATCCTCCTTGTGTGTTCCTTTAGGTAGCTTATTGGCCCTGTGTGAACAATAGTCTGCACTAGATGGACCACTGATTGGATCCTGCATGACTGTTTTAATGCTCTTGAATAGAGAATTAGACTGTAATTGTATATACTTCTAATTTATAATTCAGGAGTACTTGGTACTAACTACTAAGTGTAATGGGTGTGCCTGAGCACTTGATTGTCCGATGTATAACCTGTACTGTGGACAAAATGTTAAGGTCAGAAGAAATATGGAAAATATGGAGAAACAGAATAGTTTCCTTTAGGCAAAGTCATCAGAGAAGGGCATATCTCCTTGACTGTTCAATCTGTACATACAATATATCATAAGGAAAGCTAGATTAGGAACAGAGGAAGGAGGAGTGAAGAATATGCAACAATAATTTAAGATATGCAGATGAAACCATATTACAGGCAGAAAGCCACAATGAATTGAAGCCACTGCTGATGAAAGCAAAAAAAGAAAGTGCAAAAGCAGGACTGCAGCTGAGTATTAAAACAAAAACCATGACTGCAGAAGAACTACACAAGTTTCATTTCGACAATGAAGAAATTGAAACTGTGAAAGATTTTGCATACCTTGGTTCAATCATTTATTCAAAGGAAGAGTGCAGCCAAGAAATTCAAAGATTTAAACTTAGAATGGCAGTGACTAAAAAACTAGAAAAGATCATCAAGTGTAAGGACATGTCACTGCAGAGCAAGGCTAAGATCATGCACACTATTGTATTCTAATCACTATGTTTGGGTGTGAAAGCTGGGCAGCAAAGAAAGCTGGTAGGAAGAAAACTGATTTGAAACATGGAACTTGAGGAAAGCTTTTAAAATATCTGGACTGACAGAAGACAAACAATTTGTCCTAGATCAAATCAGGTCAGACCTTTCCTTGGAAGCAAAAATTACAAAACTGAGGCTGTCATACTTTAGGCCCAACATGGGAAGTCTGAGTTCAGTAAAAGCCAGCCCACTAACAGATATTAATTTTTGGCTACTGGATTGGCATTTTTTTTCTCCTTCCCTTGGGTATCATGATAGGTTATGTACACATGAGCCACAATGTTATTGCATGTAACTCATCACAACTTTTCAAGTATTATTTATTTATTCATTTATTATATTGGATAGATCAAATGGGGTGGGAAATGAAGGTCTCTATATAAGGAAGTTAAAAATCCATAATTAGAGTGGTGAGGTGGTCAGCTGGGGACCACCCAACAGATTTGAGGCAACCATTGAGGAAGAATATACAGAACATACTGAAACTTCAGTCAGGATAGAATGCTGATGTGTAAGCCATATATCCCTGGGTGGTGGGTGGCAAAATGCAGTACAACCAACCAGTCCCTTGGATAAGCAAAAGTACTAGTATCAGTGGTCTCAAATACTTCTCCCAACACACACACGCACAATCACCATCACCTTTTTCACCCTGTTTATTAACCCAGTAATCAAACAAACAAACAAACAAAAAACAAACAAAAAAAACCCAGTAATCAAATACAGATTGTCACCACATTGTAATCCAATAATTTTGTCTGCCTTCTTGAATATAACGTGTGAATTTCCACCACTTAACTCTAGGTTTCATTCATTTCCCTTACCCTATCTCCAAAAGATGCAGATGATAATACAGGCAAAATTTCGCAGTCACAACAATGCTCAAGTACCTTCCCAGATCTTAATTCGATATTTAACAGGCCTCTCAAATCATCGGAGGTCTCCTAATTGTTAACTGCCTTTCATTTTTTACCACTTTTATAGACAGCTAGTGCTTTCAGTTGTCAAACACACTCTTCGGGCATTTGAGGAATGATTTGTAACAGACAGGCTGCTGTATCTTGAAAGTCTCCTTCTGGAAAAGGAGATCGTGTTCTTTACATGAAACAGAAAGGGTTTTGACTAGAACTGTTGGAGAGACATACAGAGTTGAATTCCAAGCTTTGTTGGTGGAATGATTTGGTAGGATGACATAGTTCTGAAGTGTATCACAAGAGGGTCTTTAGGAGATCTGTGCGGGAAACTTTAAATCTTCTGCACTGACGTGTCCATGCATGCACATTCATCATTTAAGGGCTGCTATACATCATCAAGTAATGACCTGCATGTTTGAAATAACCAGCCTGGTTCAAACTTCAAAGACAAAGTTTTCCTATGACCTGGCATCAACTCAAACATGATACTTTTCAGTGGAGGCAGTTTGCATGAATAGCTGTGAATTATCAAGTGATGAGAGATCTAGTGATCAACATGAATGTATGAATTATCCCTAAACACTGAGGTAATGGCTTGAAGACTCTTTCCAGTCCCATTGTGTTTCTGCTCCACTGTTCCTGGATCTGGTCTTTCTCATTTAGAAAGAACTGATGTGCTTGCAGCATTACTGTTTGCACAGCCAGTGCTTTGAATGTATAGCATTTTGAATCTCTAACTCAGAACTGCCTAAATCATTCTTTGCTTTATGTTGTAAGCACTGGCACATCTTAAAATTAGTAACCACTTCCTCATTTGCTTGGATTCAAGCTTTCAGCTCTCTGACCTGTTCATTTCTCTCTCTCTCTCACACACACACACACAATATGACTGCACCTTATGTCATGATTATATTCATTTATATTTATACACAGCATATGCCACATTCCAATAGTTTTATACTAAAAACTGAACATACTGTTTAGTAGCAATATTATAGCTAAAGATTGTGTGTGTGTTTTACACATTTCCTGTTTATTTTACTTCAAGTTATAATTAATATTATCACCATCATTGTATTTCAAATGTATATCAATTAACTAAGAATTATTGATAGAAGCAAAGAGAGCTTGCTGACCTTCAATCAATTTTTCATACTTTCTATTAAGTAATCCAGAATGTATAGGTTCTGTGTTGTCACTTGCAAATATATGTTAGAACTTGCATCTTGCCAATGTACATGCATTGAATGTGTGGGAAAACAGACTGTAGTGTCCTCCTACTACTCTTTAAAAATATTCTAATGGTTAATAGGTACTTACAATGACTGGAATAATTATTAGGCTTTGAAAAAGTTTTAAGTATCTATAAGTGTTTGATTCTATACAAGATGTGAAAGCAATTTGTCTCCCTTTTGAAGGGAGAATGGTAATAAAAAGGCATGTAGGAAAAGCAAGAACCATGTTCTAATCAAGGGATACAATAACAAAGGACTCAGCATGACTTTGGGAGATATACTTGAGAATTGTATTTTTACAGTAAAAAGACAGTTTGTTCTTGATTACTGTTCCCAAATGTGTTGAAAGGTTAAACTTTCAAATGAATTCAGTGTAAATGTTTTTCTTCCTCTTCCAGTTTGCACTTAAAGTTTAATAGGATCAGTCCATGAGGAAATTCAAGGATCTTGGATAAAATAAAGCCAATGGAAACCATCATATTTAATGTAAACATAACATATAGTCATTACTAAGAAAATATAGGATAGTCCTTCAGGATTGTCTTTAGATGTATTTGTGAGCTCTTTCAGGACTGTAAAGCTTTAAACTTGATTGCATTATGCACTGCCTTTTTTGTTTATTTCTCTAATAAATTCTTTCATGAGTTGTCTGGATGGACTTCTACTTTTTTTTTTTTTACTCTACCTATGGAACTGACCCAACAACAAATTACAAACAGCCTTCTGATTTTAGAAATGTATATGATTATTTCTATAACTATCATCATAATTATTTCTGTGGGTGCATATGTGTGTGACAGAATATATTGTCAAGTAGTTAGATCTTCAGAGGCCAGGACTTGTCCCTAAAGGAATCCAAGCTGGAACCCAGCTGGATTGAGACCAGCAGGCCAAATTAGGTCCATGGTTCAGGATTGTAAACACTAAGTAACTGCCTCACAGGTTGCATTTGGGATAAAGAAATATATACTTATATATGGAAAGGAAGGGTTAATAGAGCTGACACAGTCTAGTAGTGAACTAATGAACTGAAATGAAACATTTATAAATTCTTTGGCTGACTCTAAAGTGTTTTCTTCAGTTTTTTTATTGGTTAAACCATGTAGTTTTCTAAACACACACACACACACACACACACACACACACACACATTTTTCAAATTCTATATTTTTATTTTTGATACTACATTTTTAATACTCCACTTCCTAACCATCCGTAATTTTTTTCAACTGCTTCTCCACTTCTTCCACAAATGCTGGGAAGCTCTTATCCAGGAGACACAAGTGAATAAAGCTGCCTAAATCTTCAGCGTTCCACATAGACTGTTGATATGCAAAAGGAAGCTCAATGTTTGTTGTCCGTATATACTGCAAAAACAAACAGATATGGTAAATGTCCTTCTAAAAAGGACTTTAAACAAGTAAAAAGGATGATTTTGGGTCAACGATGGGTCAGTAATATCTTTCATAAAGTGTGAAAATTAAATTCTAACTAAAGCAGTCTTCTAAGGAGAAAAACTGAGGTGCAGCAAATAGCTTAAATCTACTGCTTATAGCTCAGAATCAAAGCCAACTTCAGTATCAATCTTAAGTAATGGCTTTGGTCAATGGAGCTGTATAAAATAAAGGAATATGGCACACAAAATTTGGGAATTTCCACTGAGCTACTGAGGAATATGGACAGAACAGGCGAAAGAAGGCAAAAAGAAAAGGCATATATATGGTGCTATGTTTGCCATTTTGAAGTGTTGGATCAGTTGCACTTTCACAACTCTAATACCTTGTAAATAGAGTTCAGTTTCTGAAAAACACTACTTTTCTACAGAAGTATGCTTACCAGTTTTTCTAAAGAAATGAACACAGATATTTACCTGTGCTACCTCTGAGACAGATAGTCGTCCCTGTGCTGGAGATACATTTTCAGCCTAGAATATATTAAACCCATATTTATGAACAAAGTTTGGGCAGGAAATTATTACAAAACATTAACAGAAAATATTTTGGGAGGTACCCTAAAACATTTGGGTTATGGTTACGCTAAATTGGGGATACAAGTTAGAATTGTCTCCTAAAACAGCACATTTTGTTCTAAAATTCCAGAAGTGTGTATAAGAGCACCACTGGAATTCCCACCCACTCTTTTACCTCCATCCCCAGCTGACCACTGGAATGTGCCCCCTGAGGGCTTCTCTACAAATGAATCCATTCCTTGGGGTGAAAGAGATTCTACACTCATACTCTACAAATACTCCATCAGCTTACATTATGCTGCATGGGTACATTTTGCTCAGCATCTTTCAGCTGACTTTCTCCATCAAGCGTCAGGCTGTGCCCTTGTCGCAGTTCCTGTCTTGCAGCATCCATTTCTTGAAGCGGAACATAGTCAGCAAGCTTCTGCATACACTGACAGCAGTGCTCCTCTGCATGTGTTTTGGAGTCTCCCATAAACTGGACACGGAACATACGTTGTTTATTCTATTTCAAACCCATAAAGATAAAATTACATTAAACTTTCAAGTTTCCTAATTTAATTCATACAAGATATTCAACTGCATATCTCAGGTAGCAGGAGGTGAATTTTTAAAACCAGTGTCCCCATCATATTTCAACCACTGTGATATTATGCAGTCATCCATGCAAGGGTGGCAGGGGTGCTCTGGGGTTAGAACCCTAGCTCAAACCTCAAAACACATTTCGGAGGTCATAGCTAAGGCTCCAACCTATTCTATGGCCATTCAGGCAGCATCTAAAAGCCACAGAACTGCACCCTAATTTACTGTAAATTCAACCTATAGGCCATCGCCTCAAGTCTGTTTTTCACATTATTTTTCAATCAATGTTATTTTGGTCTGGCTCATATGGTCATTTTAACTATATAAATTATTACCAGATATACAACTACACAAAGGAAAAATATTGTGTGAACTACTGATCATTGCAACAGTCTTTAGATCAGATATAATTGCTCATTGGGGACTTACAATCTATAGAAATTAAGGTATGAGTAAATATAACTTTGAAAAGCAAATATACTCTAAAATGAATAATATCGGTCTTTTTAGAGTTCTATGAATGAATATTTTATTATTTATTTATTTATTTATTTAAAGCCTTTATATCTCACCCTCAAAGTGTCTCAGGGAGGTAATACAATAAAATAAATAAGATACAGCATCCAGATGATAATATATAAAATCAATCTTAAAACACTACTAACATTTAAAATAATGGGAAATTAAAAGGGTTTTGGCCTGGCACCAAAAAAAAGTGTCAGGGCCAGGCACACCTCTCTGGGGAGCCCATTCCATAGTCAAGGCAGCACCCAGAGAAGGCTCTTCTTTGGGTAGCCACTCTTCTGATATCCTTCAAAGAGGGCCCCCAAAGAAGGACCTCACCCGCAGATCTTAGAAGCCAGGCAGGTCTACATGGAATATACCATTAGAAAGTACTAAATTAAAATTCACAAATGCAATAGATCATACACAGAAACACATCATTTGGCAGATTGCATAACAGTATGCATGTGTTTAAAAACTGTCATTGGTATCCTGCACTTGAAATACAATATAAACAGCTTGAATATTAGTCAATAAAATTTTATAAATCTTTTCTCAACATCATGACCTTGTTTCTCTATGATCATTCTTTCATTAAGGTAGATTTATAGAACAGGTAGCAAGAAGCAAAAGCAAAAAGAGGAAAAGCAGTGAAATAACAAAATTAGCAAAAAAAATTAAAATTAGAAAGAAAAACAAACAAACTTTAATAAAACTGATACACGCCATCAAGATCAACCTAGTGCTATGAGTAGTGAAAAAGTAGTGCTCTGTGCTTTCACAATGGCATTCTACAGCAAAATGCAAATAGAGGAAAATGCTTCCTTCACATCTATATACTATCATCTTAGGACTCTAACATTAAAATAAGTATGAGGAAAGCACATATGTGTATAGAACTAAGATTTATTAAGGAAAAAAGCATATAAGGCCAAAGTGAGGAGGGAAAGATATCTGGCCAACTATTAAGTGGCCACCAGTGAGAAATATTAATAAAAATATGGGGGAAAGTTAGTGTTCAAAACATCATACCTTTAATTTTGAACCAAACAACATGCAATCTGCACTTCTTACTATCTTCAGCCATTGAGAAGCATCAATCAAAGAAAAACCTTCCTGAAATAAAGCCAAAAAACTTTTCAGCTTCTCCAAAAGCTATGAAGCAGAGAACAAGTGGTGTCATGGTTTATGGGAACCACTTGAAGGATAGGCGCAAATCACAGAATCTTGAAACTCTCCATTAATTTATGTGAAATTTTAGAAAATTCAATACGGAGATCTAAAAAATCATGAGAAATGTGTGATAAACATTTAAAGGCATGTTTTCTACAGTGAACAGTAGATTATGAATCTGTATATCATTTTTCAACTCTGATTACATTTTTCCAGAGAAAGGGGTGATGGTGGACAGACAGAACAAAGGAGGCTATCCTAGCAATGAGAACTACGAACATGAAAAGATTTGTTTAATGAAAGCTTAGGTTCCCGTGATAAATATTGTATGTCGCTTCTGTGTTTGTATGACCAATCCCATGAACATGTGGCAACTGGCCTAGCTGATCCTTTGATAACACCAGAACTGTCATTCCCTGTTAGTTGATGCTAACGAGTCCCAGTCAGTAAAGCACGTGAGCAGCAGTTCTCAGGGTCAGCCCAGACAGAGGACTCCTAGAGATTCAATCAAAGAGTATGCTGCAGCTAAATGTTTCTCTACATCTTTGTCCTACCAGCCTTCATCCTTTTCTAATATTCCAGTCTAGCCCATACTGCATAATGTTTAATTGTACTACTGTTACCACCAAATGTATGTTCTGTTAGTCACGAAGTCATGTTCGACCCATCATGACCCCATGGACAACATTCCTCCAGGCTTTCCTGTCCTCCACCATCCCCCAGAATCCCCCTAAGCTCACACTAACTGCTTCAGTGACTCCATTTAGCCACCACATCCACTGCTGTCCCCTTCTTCTTTTGCCCTCAATCGCTCCCAGCATTAGGCTCTTCTCCAGGGAGTCCTTCCTTCTCATTATGTGACCAAAGTATGTGAGTTTTATCTTCAGTATCTGGCCTTCTAAAGAGCAGTCAGGGTTGATCTCCTCTAAGACTGACTGGTTTGATCTCCTTGCAGTCCAACGGACTTGCAGGAGTCATCTCCAGCACCACAATTCAAAGGCCTCAGTTCTTCAGCACTCAGCCTTCCTTATGGTCCAGCTTTCACAGTCATACATTGCAACTGGGAAAACTATAGTCTTGACTATATGAACTTTTGTTGGCAGGGTGATGTCTCTGCTTTTTAGTATGTCATAGCTTTGCCATAGCTTTCCTCCCAAGGAGCAAGTATCTTTTAATTTATTGGCTGCAGTCACCATCTGCAGTGATCTTGGAGCCCAGGAAAATAATATGTCACTACCTTCATTTATTCCTCATCTATTTGCCAGGAAGTAATAGGACCAAATGCCATGATCTTATATCACCTAATTAGATAAAACTAAAAATTTCACCAGCACACTTATACCTTACAATCACTGCACAATAATTTTTTCAGACTAGCAGTGAGCTAGTGCATCCCTCAATGTTTTCTTTCTTCTACATAAATATGTAACATTTTACAAAGGTGCATAAATAATAATGAAAGTGGAAGTGATGTTGTTGCAATATACTAGAAGCAGAATATGATGTAATGAAAATGCTGTATAAACAACTTCAATTCTGTCCAGATGATATCCAGACCCATTTTTGCTTCTGAGGCAGAACAGCAGATGTTGCGTGACTGTATTCCTCCATCCCACTTCTTGCAAGATCAAGGTGTACAGTACTAAAGGCAAGTCAAGTTGTTTTGGGAACTGAGGCAGTGGTATTATGCCCTACTTGGCACTGAACAACAACAATAAATAAAACGACAATTGACTACCCATTGATCACATCCAAATTAAGCTGACTATGGAAGCATTTCATTTGCTCTAAATGTAAGGCTTTCCATAATATCCATACTGTGTAGCATAACATATATTGGAATACATGCTTGTCAATTTTCTTGATATGGAAATTCTAACAGTCAATCTCTGGAACTCCCTAACACTACAAATTAGGAAGGAGTAAACCCTTATGAATTTTTTGCACCTACAGAAAACATACTTTTTCAACTTGTTTCTGTATGTTTCTTAGAATTTTTAAGAAAATCAATGGTTCACAAATATTGTTAAATAATAATTCTATATATAATAAAAGGGACTTGATCTTGTTAAAATTTATATAAGAATGTACTATAAGTAAATGATTGTTCTAGATTGTTAATTAACTTGGTGTTCCTTTGGAAAGCTTTTACTCTTTTATTTGTATTTGCTTCATCTGTATTTATTTCCATTTTATATAATATTTTGGAATAAAAACTCAGTTCCCAGTGGGCTGGCAGGCAACTGCAGAGGTGCCAGTGGACCCTTGCTGGTAGTAGGAAAGAAGAGACACATAGGAGACATATCAAGGAATGCCTCAGAATCACAACTTACAAAGCCCCCCTCACTTCCCCAACATGCGGGAAAATCATACCAGATCTGGAATGAGTGTCATGATTTTTCCTCCCACAGGTCAATTAAGGTCTAGGAAAGAACTAATACAATCAAAGGGCTGAAGCAAGTCCCTATAAGGAAATGTTACAAAGTCCATAACTGCATAGCATAGAAAAGAAGGCAACATATAATAGAGAGGAATAACATTATGCATTATACTATAACCCAGGGTCATTCCATGATACTGACTGGTGGGAGATTCAGGACAGATAAACAACAGCACTTTTTCAGACCACATAGAGTTAAATTATAGAATTTGTTACCAAATGACCACCAGCTTGGATAACTTAAGGAATATTAGACCAGTTCATGAAGAATAAGGCTATCAGTGGCTACTAGTCATGATGCTTATATGGCACTTCCAGTACCAAAGACAGTATGTGTCTCCATACTAAATGTTGTGAATCCAAGATGTTGTGGTATATCTTTGCTTGCAAAGGTTTCTTCTAGCTTACTTGTATCACTTCTGCGGGTGTGCCATCCTGTCAGTGCAGCAGCAACTCTTCACCAGCCCACAGCACGTCAGCTGACAAGGTGCAGGATGACAGCATAACTGTATAAACTTGGAAGTGTCTAGCATTGTACTTGTGAACATCCTAATTTAATCAGTGCCTAGAAAACTGCTTTGGCATGCCTATAATCATCAAACTGATTAAGAAAATTCATTTTCAAGACCTATGAAAATGAATACTTACCAATACTTCCTTTTCTCTGGAAATGAAGAAGTGGCCTGAAATAACTATGGTAAGAACAAGAAAACCAGATTCTTTGCTGGATTCCAAGACCTTTTTTGAATCAAAGAAGAAAAAAGATCAGTTTGAAGAATAATATAGTGATACAATAAAAAGACCAACAGCCACATCAGTATGTTTTCTAGCATATAAATTCATCATCACGTAGGATAAATCTGCTCCCTGTCTAGCAGGTTTTTTTTGTTTTTTTGTTTGGCAAGGAGTGTTTCTTGCTACCCATAAAAGCCTACAGAGCAATTCCTTATATGCATGTACAGGGACTGAAAAAGCCCATTACCCAATTATAAATGCCTGGTAGGGGTAAAGTATATCTCCGCCCCAAGAACTTTTGGTCCAACAGGATCACTGAACTTTGTCTTCTGTCCAGCTGATTATTGGCAGGTGAGGGGGGATTTCTTACACCATGCATATAAATGGAAAAAATGCTCAGTTCAGTAGCAGAGGGATGTGTGGGAGGGGGAAGAAAAAAGCCAGTGGTTTTCATTCACTTCTACAATTAAATACTGCATCTTCCCTACTTTTTAAAAACTGTTCTTCAGATACAGAAATCCATTCAAAGAACCCAGAAACAACTGTAAGAAATGATGATTGCAAATAAGATACTCCTCATGCAAAGAAAGCTCAGAAAAAAAGAGGAGGCAGAGAGAGACAATGAGGGATATACATAAATTTGGTGGGGGAGCACATAATGCTTTTCTATCTTCCATCCATCCACCCTCTGTCTACACAGTCAATTTGTAATAGCTACCAGCACCCTCTTCCAGAATGCCAAATGTGCCCCATGGTCCCATACAGCTGGAGACCCCTGTTCTAGGCCCCATGAACCAAACATACCTCCCAGGAGCCTGAGGCAGTGCCCAGGGCACCAGGCATAAATCTGCCATAGCGTCGCAGCTGCCACTCTGTAGCACTGAGGCAGGAGGAAGACTCCCGTGACTGTTCTGTCCCTGGAACTTGGCTTGGCAAAGGCTGTTCCTCTTCAGAGCATGAAGCTTGATTGCAAGTGATCCACAAATTGTTGTTATCACTGTTTGTTGCCATATCCTAGGTTACAGCTGCTTGAAAGAAAAGCACACAAATGTGGAAAGAGCAATGAATAATAAGTTCCTACAAAAAAATCAGCAAGACATTGAGATTTAGACTCAATGTCAAATTAAGATTATACCTCAATGAAGTCTGTTCCTGCCTGCTCAAACCTCTTGAGCTTACTCTCAAGTGAAAAAATTAGATGTGATGAGATTCATTCACACTTCTTGCAATGAATCCTAAGTACTTAAACTTGTGGATTACCAAATTAACAGCTACACATGTCCTTGTGCTTACCTTCTTTTATTTCTATGTATTTTAAGGTTTCTAGATGGCCTCATTCATTCTAGTCCTTCTCTCCTGCAAACATATTCTTGTGAATGTTGGGTTGTTCACCACAGATTGTGATATCCCAGCTGGGTTCACAACATAGTAACTGAAATTTCAAGAACAACCCAGGGTTCAATGACAGCCCACACTCAATCTACACTTAACTCTTGAGTATAGTTTATTGTGTAATTACAGATGAATCAGTGTAGGAAGGAATCAGTGATTAATGAGACTGTGTGTAGTGAGTGAACCAGGCATTCACTCTGCTGACTTTCCAAGAGCCTGTGTTATTGGATTCTGAAGAGACACTAGAAAGATTTGATGGGAGGGCAGCAGGGGTAGAAGCCTTTGAAACTCCATCAAGGTCTCTGCACGCAAGTTTTTCAGGCTGACCATGAGAGCAAACATATTTTGGAAGGGATGGGAGAGGATCCAGAAGAGAGACCTGCTGCTTTGCCTGGTCCATGACCCCATGATAAGGCATTGGGAGGGCTGAACTACCCAGTTGGAAGGTTTAAGTCTCACCAGCTGGCTTTCAACCAGTGGAAACCATCCTTAGGGTAGAGCCTGCAGTGTTACCAAAAGGGAAGAAATTTCCAGTTTGGCTCAACACTTTTTACATAAGCAGAGGCTTATCTTTCAGCTTGTTAAGAGTTGCATTGTCTTATTAGCTATGAAGTGCCAAATTTGCATTGTAGAGGACTATTTGGTGGTTTGGAACCTAGGACAAGAAAGGTCTGCCTCACCACAATATGTTTGTTTTCAATAAGAATTCAAGGTTGAGTAAAAATGGCCTGCCATACTTCTCACTGTTTTTAGGTGACCGTATTATTTTAAGGTGCATTTCTCTGACTAATAAAGGAGGGAGGAACAACATAAGAAACAGTATCTAGGAAGAATAGAGACTAATCCCATAGTTTCCTTCAACAGTATTAATTTACTTAGTGTTCCAAAAAAATGCTCCATAAACTGTCCATACTACTAATGAATGACTAAAGTGAGGAAACTATTTTCCCCTATATTCTCCAGGGGAGGGGAAGAATTCTTCAACAGCCCAGGAGGAGCTAAAAAGAGAGAGAGAGAGAGAGAACATTTTCAGATACTTATTTTCAGAGAAATTTTGGCCCAGCCCTACATAATTTATATGGCCTCTAACTGCCTTTCTGTAAGTTTCATGTAAAATCATTATCATTTCTTTTGCCTGTGTCAGAAATTGCCACAACAGCTATTTTTTCTACAGTTAAAAAGAGAAGAACTGAAGCTCAGCAGTCCTCAGACATCCTGAGTAAAACAAACCAAAACAAACCAAACCACAACAAACCAAAACAGGAAATCCAAAACAATCAGCCCAACAATTTGGATTTTCTTCTCCTCAAGGCAGGTTTCCCATCTTTCATGCAGACATTTCCACATCCATTGTATCCTTAGCTGAAGAGGCCCAGGAAAAAAAGAGCCCACAGTCAGTCAATAAAACTGCTATGTGTATTACCCTGAGGCCTACTAGACTTGTCCTCCTGAAAGACCCAAAGTCCAGGGAAGAGTCACCTTCAAAAAGAAACCTATTTATCCTTTCTGGGGGTATATATAAGACCAATGAGAGTTGTAGGCCTTTTTTTCTGTCTAAATGCACACTGGATTGCACACTCAGTGTTGAAAGCTTGATTTCTGAGATCTTCTTTGAGGCTGAGGCCATCACAACTAGAATAGCCTGAAAAAACCCAAAGAAGACCTAGGGTGACTTTGTGAAGCACAGATGTTAGAAGCTCCCAGTTCTTCACTGCTTCATTCACTCCACTGACCTCTTGCCTTTATTCGATAAATAGTCTTCTAAAATGTACCCCCAAAGAGAGCAAATCAGAGCTAGAACTCAAGCTGTGTTTCTGTTACATGTTTGCAGTCTGATCTGTTGCCTCTGATCAGAGCACAGTTTCAGGCCTTTGTGCATGCTCCTGTCTGCTTACTCCTCCATAAAGGAAACAGGTTCCTTTAAAATATGGCATCAATGGAATGGCCGACCTTGGGATGGCAGAAATTCACCCTCCACACATGCAAAGGGACAGAGAGGAGGAGTGTGGGAGTCTGATACAGCCTCTGATTCATTCAACATTAGAAATTATTATTTAAACTGGCATACATAGTTCACTGGCAAGCCAGTGCGAAAGGATCTATTTTCTTCACAAGCTTCAGAGAAAGAAGAAAGTGGTAGCTAGCAATGGTATCATAATTCAAAAAATACTTTTGTGTTAGACTGTATATTGTGCTTCCTGGGCAGTGGCCAGGCACAAACCCTTTTCATCTCATAAAAGGCATTTATAATTCCTTTACTTTCATGCTTTTTATTTTCTTGCTGCTATTTTTGCATTCCAACCCTATAAAAGCCTACTCTGATGTAAATCCCACTGAATGAGTAGGAGTTACTTCTAAGAAATGTTATACAGGATTGCAGCTTTAGTCTGCTCTGTTGAAAGTTAAACTCAGTGGCAGTTTCAAGTTTGTGACACTTCTACATTTTGTATACTCTTTTCTGAATCTTTTTCTGCTAGTGTGTAAAGACAGATTTTAATATTTTAACTATATTATGAGGGGTTAGCCCACGCCCAGCCATGGCAGTTGTGTGAGAACACCTACAACTCTCTCAAAATTCCAGATGTATTCATTGCTACAAAAAAGGTGGCTGGTTTATCCAAACAATTCAGAATCAGAAACCATAGTTTTATTTTGGCTTGCTCAGACAAGCCATAGTTCAAAGTAGCTGGGAAACACCTGACCTGGAAAACAATGGCATGCAAAACAAATACTCAGCCACTGAATTATGGCCTATTCAGTTAATGACACACTTGCTCAAGCATTTTCATATTTCTGAGTTTGTTTAAATATGGTTGGTGTGAGAATTTTGTTTGGCATGTATGTATCTTTATCATTTCCTGCTGGTGTGTAAAAGTCTGTGACGGCAAAAATATAGAGTGGTGGAAGGGGTTCTGTGCCTAGATATTCTATTTGAACCAATAGAATGTTTAATATTTTTAATTTAGGCTGCAATCCTATGGACTCTTACCGGGAGATAATTCCACTATAATTAGCTATCCTTTTTCTTTTAGGGTTTTTTTTTTTTTTTTTTTGGGAGCAGGGAGGTGTAGCGGGTGAAATGGGTAATTACAATTAAGACTGCAAGCCTATACTCACTTGCCTAGAAAAATGTTTCTGGGTATATATTATAGGGTTGCAGTAATTGAAAAGAGCTTCCCCATTTCAGAAAGATGACTTAAACCACAGAAGACTAATATGATCAATGAGATCAGCTTTTTTTTAGGATTGAGGAAATGGGGAAGATTAAACTATAGCAGCATACTTTTAATTCTATCATTCTCAATGGAATACTTAAGTATATGCTGAAAGGGGCATCTTGGGGCCCATCAAAGTTGTGGATGATTACTGTATCATCCTTCTTATTCATTTAAAATATGTATGTCTGGGAGTAGCTGGCCGGGTATGTACACAGTTACAAAGGCCCATATTTTATTTTTAAAATATCTATTGCAACTAATACATTATTTAAGTATTGTTATCCTGCTCTTCAGCCAAAAACATTTCCAAGGGCTTCTTATCAATAAAAGCATATTATGCTTTTTGACAAGAAAATGGTGCTTATTCTAAAAGAAATGGGTTTAGAATCAGGGCAGCAGGAGCAAACTTCATTTTATTTCTGCAGTCATAATAGTATTTTTGAGAACAGCATTGTGCTGCCAACATTGGTGCTATATCATGATGTAACTTTTCTTTTAATCTCTTATGAACTGAATTGTGTATGTTGTTTAAAGTTGATTGTAGTATTTGTGCATGCAGTTTTAAAGTTCATTCTTGCTACCACTTCCACACCTGGTCTTACCAGGGGACTATATGGAGATTGCATACGCATAATTGGAAAATGGCAATGGTCAGGATGATCAGAGAAGCCATGGTGAAGCTTAGAAATCAGTTGAATTTCTGTTGAAATTCAGTCTGTTGAATTTTTCTGTGGTTTTAGAAAACTAATCCTACCATGCAGGAACTCTAAAACTGAGTCTGGATGACAAAACAGAGCCACAATGTTAATATTTCACCATGGATTTTTTGTGTTATGCCAACTGAGCCATTGTGTGTATTTGCATGCCATGCCAATCCACCCTGATTATAAACTACAGTGTGTATGACAGATGATCAGTTTGGGTTGGTTGATCATCCCCTACGTCCCTGTTAGTTCTCCTGTGTGTATTCCAGGAGACATATAGCAGGATGGACCAACTTGGGTCTCTACTCCCAGCCATGATCACAAACCATTTTGGTTCACCGTGGATTTTGTTCCCCCCATGCTTTTGTTCACAATCTGACTCAATAGCCAGCTTTTGCCATCTCTGCTGATAGTTACTGACCTCCCCCTCCCACCAAAAATATCCAAGCAGCATGTTGGAGGAGCTTTCTATGGTCTTATACTTTGCATACTCTAACGTGTACAAATATTTTGCAAACTATTTTTAAAAACAGAATCTTTTGCAAGTGTGTACCTGTGCATTTACAGAGGTCTGAAAAGATCATTCTTACCTGCAAAATGTCCAAAGAGGGACCTGCTGCCAAAATGAGATCAGTTCTGGTACTCAAAATTAGTTTCTCGGCTTAGAATTCCTTAATTCGAAGTGTCTATCTAGTGCATCCGACTCTCATTGGTAGATCTCAAGAGTCTAGTAAAAATCAAACTGGGTGCCATGACCTTGATGCCTTCCCACATATGTATAGAGATCCACCTTCCCTTTCAACTTCAGAAATCTTTTATTCAGAAATCGAATTATTCTGAGCGCCTGCTTTTGTAAATGATGCCAGTCAAAAAGGAGCATGGATCATGTCTGAAACATTTTGGGCATCTTTATCCAATCAATACTCAAAGCTGTTAGGGTGGGAACTAGAGCACCTGTTTTGCATGTTAAAAGTTCCATGGTCACTCTATGGCATTTCCAGGCAGGACAGGGAAAGGGGAGGTAGTCCATACTGAATTAAATGGATCAACCCATTCATCTTATTTCCTAAACTAAAGGGCTAACACTTGAAAATTCACTTCCTTTCAACATTATTTATTACTAAAATAAAGCTAATGAAAAAAGTAGAGAGAGATCTTAGGGGATACATAGAAGTAGATGGAGATGAACCAGAAGCATTGAAGGAAAACAGTTCTGTGCCAATCACTGAACAGATTTTTTTTTCTGATAATCATTCTAAATACCTCTGTGGTGGGAAAGTCCTCAATCTGAATAAAATAAATAAGTGAAAAAGAACAATAATACTCTAGACTTGGGCACTCCATTAGGGAAAAGAAAAATCATCAGCCAAAAAAGAACACTTAAATAAGATTAAAAGACATCTGAAAAAAAGAAAAGTGTGTTCTTGGGAATGGGAAGGTTGAAGTTCCTTTCAAATAAGAAGGTTTGGCAAAGGTCAACTTTCCACTAATTTAGTAGTAAGGTATAAGCTTGGAAGCAAATACATGAAAGGAGTCCATAAGTAAGTATTTTATGAGAAAGCAGATTTGGAGGCCTAATCCATTGGAGGTTATGGTAATATCCAAATAAAATAAATAACACAATAAAAGCTAGCCAAATAAAAAGCAATTGAAAGCTAGATGTGACAGAAACATATAAATCACAATGTACAATAGCAAAAAGAAATGGCACTTCTACAGAATAATGGGAAACATGTAAACAGTCAGAGCAGCACACCTGATAGAAAAGATCATGTTGAGGACAGGATGCATTGAGGTTCCTCCATTGATGAGGTAATCTTCAAATTAGTAGTCTCTGCATGAATAAAAGGCAATATTGGACACAATCTAGAATTCGTGTATAGTTTAGCCCTTGTCAAGATTCTCATATCTGCATTAGAAAGAGGAATACAGAATACTTCC